AAGGTCTTCAGTAGATTCTTGGCCTGTGCTACTGTTGGGGACTTCAATGGGAAAGTTTTCTTTCAGGAGGCAACATCCTTGTTGGAAGATATGGAGCTATTTACTGATGCCTCTGGTAGTATTGGGTTCGGTGCATATGTTGCGGCTCGGTGGTGTGCGGAGGGGTGGCCGGAACTTGGCATTTTTGGAGTTATTCCCGTTGATGGTTGCCTTGGCTCTTTGGGGGAATGTTCTTCAGGGCCGGAGGGTTGTCTTTTTGATGGATAATATGGCTGTGGTGCAGGCTGTCAATAACTTGACAGCCTCTTCGGTTCCAGTGGTGTGCTTGCTCAGGCACTTCGTATTGTTGTGCATGTCGTGTAATATTGTTTTCTGGGCTCGTCACGTGCCTGGGTTGTTGAATGTGGTGGCTGATTCCTTGTCTTATTTACAGTGGGAGCGCTTTCGATCTGTTGCGCACAAGGAGGACCATGCCTGTCCGGAAGAGATGTGGCGGTTCAGGCCATCCTGGTTGGAGGTTACATAAGGAACTGGCATGTGGGCAGCTTACAACAAGGTCTGGAATGAGTGGGACGAGCCTGGGGGTTGCACAGGGGTTGGGCAGTCGCAAGTGTGTGGACTTTCGCTCAAGGGTTGAGGGTTGTTTCCTGTTACACAAGGATGGTGCCGCCCTGTCCCGTTTTTAGTTTTTTAAGGTTTTTGGCTGGGGCTACAAAGGTTAGGTTTAGACCACAGGCAGTTTGGGACCCACTCGTTCAGAATCGGGGCAGCCACAGAGGGCTTGGGGATGGTTTGGTCAAACAGATTGGTAGGTGGGAATACATTCGGTTTAAATCATATGTGTGGCCTAATTGGCTGGGTTAAGATGGGGTATAGTGTTGGAGTGGGGGAAACTGTTATGTTTTGTTTTCGTTTTAGGTCGGGTGGCCTGGTTGGTGGGCCACCGTCACTTTTACTGGACACAAAAAAGATCCACAGTTTGGATGTGTGGAATGCAGCTGGGCTTTCCTCTGGAGCAAGTTTCCCTAATGTGGTTTAGCTTTCGGGGCGGCGGTTGGCAAGGTGTCAGTGGGGAAATCTTTCGGAGGGTGATGAGGGGAGTGGCCCCCATATACTTTTTAATACATGCTGGGGGTAATTAACTAGGGCTGGTCCCTCAGAGAGTTTTGGTACAAAGGATGAAGAGGGATTTGGACCCGCTACAGGAGCTGGTCCCAGGTATAGTGATAGTGTGGCCCAAAATGGTTCTGCGTTTTCACTGGAGGTATGCTAGGAAACCAGCAGTAGGGCAGTGTCAGGGGAAAGTAAACAAGACAATGGCAATTTTTGTAAGGAGAATAGGGGGTATAGTGGTGAGACATTGGGATTTGGAAGGTATGCTTCCCTGGTACTTTGGGTGGGATGGGGTCCATCTATCAGATGTGGGGTATGAGCTTCTTAACCTGGACTTTCAGGAGGGTATTGCCAGGGCCCTTTTCTTGTGTGGTGGGGCGCTCAGGAGCTTTAGGGGGTCAAGTCCTGAGCTATGATGGGGAATGGCAAGGTAAATTGTGAGCTACCTGGAGTAGGAAGGGAGCATGGATAGGTTTAAGGTTATTTAGACAGGAGTTTACCTGGTTGGTAGGTTCGAGCTCCTTGGTGGCTCTGAACCTAGTGGTGTAGGGATGTCTCAGTACATCCCTGCAGTTTATATTTGAAATGGTGTCATATGGACGGCCATGTTATGTTTATATGTTTTATATATATATTGTTATATAATGTTTATGGTTGGGTCATTGCCAGGGGAGATATGTATGGGGGAATTATGGTTTAATATGCCGTGATGCTTGTTGGCAATGACCCTAATTGTTATATTTATGATATATATTTAATAAAGCTGTGGACAAATAATTCCAACAGTATAAATTGGTGTCTGTGGTTTAGGTAATGGGTATAAATATGTTGTGACACGACGGTGCGCATGTCATGTTGCCCATGGAACAGCGCAGCAGGGGAATGGGCCTTGACAGGGCAAGGAGTTAGGCATGGGAAGAGTTAAGTGGGAAGGTTAATGGAACAAGTGGGGTTTTAGGCCAGTCATATATAACATGGCCATCTTGAGTAGTGGCCATCTTAATCAAATCAGCACTTACCTATTAGTTGTCCCACCCTCCCTTTGTTTTTTGGATGACTCATAAGGGTTAGTGTTCCCTGTTTCTTCACAGTAGTGGGGAATGGCAAAGTAAATTGGGAGCTACTTGGAGTAGGTAGGAGGGAATGGATAGGTTTAAGATGATTTAGGCAGGAGTTTACCTGGTTGGTAGGTTCAAGCTCTTTGGTGGTTACGAACCTGGTGGAGGAGTTTGCGTGGTTGGTAGGTTTGAGCTCTTTGCTGGCTCCGAACCTGGTGGTGTAGAGGTGTCTCGGTACACTCATGCAGTGTATTATTGAAAATGGGGTCGTATGGATGGCCATGTTATGTTTATATGTTATGTGTTATATATATTGTTATATAATGTTTATGGTTGGGTCATTGCCTGCTTCAGACTATGTATGGCGGCATTATGGGTTTCATATGTCGTGATGCTTGTTATATTTATGATATGTATTAAATAAAGCTGTGGAAAAATAATTCCAACAGTATAAATTGGTGTCTGTGGGAGAACACTACACACCCTGGTGGCCGGTTCCAGTAATGCAGAACATTCTACTCAAAAAAAAATACCGGCAATTGCATTGTCCGTATATTTGCAATATCGGCACCGCCACAGAGCCTCAAATACTGGCTGTGCTGGTAAAATACCAGCCGGGTGGCAACCCTAAACCTGTGGTCGGACAGATTCTGCTCCCTGGCGGTGCAGGGCTTAGCTCATTGGTTGGAAGCGATTGGCTGAAACTCTCAGTTAATGAACTGGCGCTGAACGGCAGGATTTAGTTCAGGAAAGCTAGAGGTAGCTTCTAGCAGGACCTAGTGAGTTCTGTCTCTCAGGACCATAATGAAAGTGGCAGAGAGCGGCACCTGGTAGACCTCAGTTTCAAAGTCCAATTTTACTACTTACATAGTGGAGGAACCTGCGTAATGAAGTGGTTATGGTGCTTGGAGTGTTCCTTTAAAGCGGACCTGTCATTTTTTGTTTTTGTTTACTTATGCCACGTATATATTAATAATTATACTCCCCTCATAGTCACTTGCCTTTAATTATATTTATCTTGTCCCAGATCTCAATACCTGGGTAGAGCCATTTTATTTTCCCATGCCCACGATGTCTGCAGTTTCTCTTCTGTTAAGTTGATTTTACTGATGAATTGTGGGTAAATGCGATTGAAGCGAAACATTGCTTTAAGCTCCGCCCATTGTCAAGTTTTGTCAACCTGACAGCTGTACTTGAGGAAAAGTAGTCTTGAATTTTATTGTTTTATTTAATAAAAACTAGAGCGCTCAGGGAAAAATTAAAAAGATTCAGACACTAGAGAGAGCTATATGGAAATTTATTAGATTACGTTCATTATTGTTAAACTAGAAGTGGTGGACTTCCTTTGGTAGTAGTGACTGTAACTTTTAGATTGCTTAAAAACATTATCTGAGGTCGAGCTTGTTTTCATATGTATTATTTTATATCATCTCAGTTTAAATTAAAGCATCACTTCTTTTTTAAAATATAATTTATATATTTTTAAAAAATGCTATGTGACACACTACAGCAGTGGTTCCCAAACCTTTTAGGTTCAAGGCACATTTAATATTTCAATATTTTGTTTCAAGGCTCCCCAAGTCAAAATAAAGTTCTAGTTTGTGTATCTGTACAGCGCTACAGCATATACTGGTGCTACAGTATAATGTATTGTGTTGGTGTTTAATTGAAGGGGTGCTTGTATATAATTTTAGTGTTTTAAAAAAAATTGTGTGTTTGTATTTAATGTTTGCTTTTGGATGTAATGTTGACTTTTAAATGCGGATGTACATTTGTGTGTAGTATTGGTGTTTGAGAGAATGGGTGTGTTTGTATATAATTTTGAATGCAGAGGTGTGCTTGTATGTAATGTTTATGCTGGATTGCAGGACTGTGTTTGCATGTTGTATTTGAGTTTGATTGCTTGGATGTATGCACATACACTACCACAGACATACATACATACACATTAATACACAGATACATATAAATACACTGACACATACACACAAATTCATATTGATACCGATACACACACTGACACATGCACACACCTTGACACACGCATACACCGTCATATACATACAGATTCACACACCCTGACACACACAAACACTGTCACATGCACATTTCACATTGTCACATGACACACAGATATGTGCTCACACAGACACACATATACACACAGATGCACACCCTGACAAATAGATGCGAGCACACATACAGACACACACACACAGACACACGCCCATACACACATGCACACCCTGACACATACACACCCCTTAACACAGATACACACACAATCTTACACACACATAAACACATACATGTTATAATTATTATATTTGCAGCTATCCTCCTGTTAGCTTACCTTTGTGTTCAGGAGGATGGCTTGTTTGGGGTCCTGGCTGAAGGATGGGAGTGAGCATGCAGCAGCTCACTCTGGCCTCACCTCTGCCTTCACGCTGCCTGATCTGCCTCGAGCCTTCTCCCCCCCTCCTTCCAGCACGGCACACTGTGTATCTGGCAGGAAGTGACAGGCTGTCACTTCCTCCCAGCCGGCCGATATCACAGGGGCCCAGTCAGGCTCTTAAAGGGCCATGGCACCTGACCAGGCCCCTGTTGAGCAATAAAGCAGTGATACCCATCGGGTGGCCCGGACTGTGCGGGCCCCAGTGCATAGCATCAGGGAAGAATTTTGCCTCACCCCTGTATGGCAGTCATGGAACCACACAGTTTAGGAGCCGCTGCACTATTTCTTAGTTATATGTATTTTAGTTTATATCAATGAGTTACAAAATAATAGAATCAAACACTGAAATACAATATAAATTTTTTTTTATTTGCAAGTTATTCAAATGGTGAGCATTGAGCATACACTGGGATAGTGTTATAGTAAAAGACATAAGGACCTCTTTACAGGCAGTTTGATATATTCAGTTAATATTCGTTTTGGAGTGTAGCGTATTAAATAACTTTTCACCATCCATGAACGAACACGCTTCAAGACATTATCTTATGATTAGACATCCAAGAAAATAGTGTTGAATGTGGATATTTTTCTTTAACCTAGAAAAAGAGAACATTGTGCTGCATTGTCAGTCTATCGGTGAAAATCAGTCAATATAACGTAGATTTAAACATTGGCATCACGGATATCAGAGCATTTTGCAAATAATCAAACCAGAGCAACTGTTTTAGAGATTACTTTCATGTCAGACACCAGTAAGCGTTTCTAAAAAAAATAATAATATTCCTGACATTAATAACAGGCTATTACACCACTGAACAAATACATTAAATTAAATGATTCTATATATATATATTTTATATTTGAATGGGTTGTCAATCCAGCCTGATAAATAGACGGTTTTCTATACCTCTTGGTTAGAGAAGAGATGTATTTCTCCCAAACTGAAGCACGTATTGCTACAGGGCCCTTATTGTGGTACTGTGTGTACCCTCTTGTTGGGAGCCCTAAGTCATCTGGTAACATTTCTTGAGATATTCTTGTTAGAAACAGTGTAAAATGTAAGTAATTATAATTTACCTCACACAGGCTTCTGGCACTCGAAGTGACAATCTTTGGGACAACACTTCTCATCATTGGGACAAGAACAATCAGTATCGCAAAAAGAACGCTCGGGTACAAAGCATTGAAAGACTTCTGTCTGTTCACAGTTACCGGCCTTCACTGCTAAGAAAGATAAGGAGATGGCATAGTTATGACACGGATAATGAGAAAACGATAACCCAAGAGTAAACTAGTACAACATATCATATATTTATGTATCATGTATTTATGTATTACGTATGACCTCTTCCTATGTATCAATACTAAAACTTTGTTTTCTGAACGGACATCACCAGCTTCTATAATATTTCTGTAACAGTCTTGCCTAGTTGCGAGTTTCATCAGCAAATGCAAGGTCGCAATAAACCGGGTACTGGGGTTGTTGAAGAACATCAACTGGAAATATTCAGATTCCAGTATTTAAAGGACCACTATATTGCCAGGAAAACAAACTCGTTTTTAGGTCCCCCCCCCCACCATCAGGGTACCACTCCCGCAGGCCTGAAGGGGGTTGAAGTGGTTAAACCCTTACCTTTCTCCCGCGCCTGGCTCCCGCGCCTGGCTCCCGCGCATTCAATCAGTCAATAGGAAAGCATTTCACAATGCTTTCCTATGAACGTCAGTGTCTTCTCACTGTGATTTTCACAGTGAGAAGCGCCGAAGCGCCTCTAGCGGCTGTCAATGAGACAGGCACTAGAGGCTGGATTAACCCTAGTGTAAACATAGCAGTTTCTCTGAAATTGCTATGTTTACAGCTACAGGGTTAACCCTAGATGGACATGACACCCAGACCACTTCATTGAGCTGAAGTGGTCTGGGTGCCTATAGTGGTCCTTTAATTTCTGCATAGTGGGCACTCAGCATGGACGTTCTTTACCGAGAGGAAATTAAAACTGTGAAGGAATGGGGCAGCATGTAAAATAATGTATAGACCAAAGTTAATTTAGATAGATGTAAATAAGGAAGGAGAGATAAAATGACACAATGGAGGGAATGAGAAAGAGGGGTAAGGAAGAATTTACAGAAATGGATAGAAGGGAGAAGGAACAAGGGGAAGGAGAACTGAACTGAAACGAAACACGTTCAGTACACGGGAGACATAAAAGGAGAAGAGGAATATGAAAAGAAGAGAAGAAGAGTAGAACAAAAAAGTACAATGGGGGTATCAGGAACAGAAAATTATAGAGGAGTATATTATGTTTGTTTTTGTGATTAGGAGGGAGAAATGTTACCTTTATCACAGGGTAGACAAGTCTTTCCATTTGAACCAAAGCAGCACTTGGGTCCAGCAGCACACTCACTGTCTGAAGAGCAAAAGTCCTGACGATTTTTGATTTCAGGTTTTGGAGCTGGTGGACACTCTCCGGATCTCTCTGTCAATACATATCACAAACAAGATGGCAAGTTGTCAATGAAATACCGTACATTAGCACAAAAACTTTGATATAAAATGTGACAAAATTGTTAAGACTCTATAATCCCATAAATTGTTATAAATAAAAGAAGTTCACGTATTTACGCCATCTTGGTTTACTCAGGGGTTTATTCAATAAACAGAGAAATTTGGAGAATAAATTATGCAAAAATGGCAAATTGTAGGTCAAAATAATTGAACTGAGATTATGGGGAGTGACAAGGAGAATTGGCCACTACTGTGTATGGTAATGGTTGAGAGGAATATTGTCTACTACTACTAGCAACGGGTGGGATGGTGGGAGAATATGAGCTACTATTGACTATCGGTGGGATCATGGGGAATATGGGCTACTATTTGCTATGGGAAGGAGTGGTGGGGTATATGAGTTACTATTGGCTATGGGTGGGATGGTGGGGGATATGGGCTACTATAGGCCTTGGGGAGGAATGGTGGGGTAATTTGGGCTACTATTAGCTGTGTGTGGGATAGTGGGGGATATGGGTTACTATTGGCTATGGGTGGGATGGTGGGGGATATGGGCTACTGTAGGCTATAGGGAGGAATGGTGGTGGAATATGGGCTACTGTAGGCTATGGGAAGGAATGGTGGGGGAATATGGGCTACTGTTGGCTCTGGGTGGGATGGTGGGGAATATGGGCTACTATTGGCTATGGGTGGGATTATGGGGAATATGGGATACTATTGGCTATTGGGAGGGATGGTGGGGGAATATGGATTACTATTGGCTATGGGTGGGATGGTGGGGGATATGGGCTACTATGTGCTATGGGGGGGAATGGTGGGGGAATATGGGCTACTGTTGGCTCTGGGTGGAATGGTGGGGAATAGGGGCTACTATTGGCTATGGGTGGGATTATGGGGAATATGGATTACTATTGGCTATGGGTGGGATGGTGGGGGGATATGGGCTACTATATGCTATGGGGAGGAATGGTGGGGGAATATGGGCTACTATTGGTTGTGGGTGGGTTGGTGGGGAATATGGGCTACTATTGGCTATGGGTGGGATGGTGAGGAATATGGGCTACTACTGGCTATGGAGAGGGATGGTGGTGGAATATGGACTACTGTAGGCTATGGGGAGGAATGGTGGGGGAATATGGGCTACTGTTGGCTGTGGGTTGAAGGGTGGGAATATGGGTGGGATTATGGGGAATATGGGATACTATTGGCTATTGGGAGGGATGGTGGGGGAATATGGATTACTATTGGCTATGGGTGGAATGGTGGGGGGATATGGGCTACTATATGCTATGGGGAGGAATGGTGGGGGAATATGGGCTACTATTGGTTATGGGTTGGATGGTTAGGAATATGGGCCACTACTGACTATGGGGTGGAATGGTGGGGGGATATAGGCTACTATATGCTATGGGGTGGGATGGTGGGGAATATGGGCTACTATTGGTTATGGGTTGGATGGTGAGGAATATGGGCTACTACTGGCTATGGGGAGGGATGGTGGTGGAATATGGGCTACTGTAGGCTATGGGGAGGAATGGTGGGGGAATATGGGCTACTATTGGCTGCGGGTGGGATGGTGTTGAAAATGGGCTACTGTTGGCTGTGAGTGGGATGGTGGGGAATATGGGCTACTATTGGGTATGGGTGGGATGGTGAAGAATATGGGCTACTACTGGCTATGGAGAGGGATGGTGGAGGAATATGGGCTACTTGGCTATGGGGAGGGCTGGTGGGGGAATATGGGCTACTATTGGCAGTGGGTGGGATGGTGAGGAATATGGGCTACTATAGGCTATGGGGAGGAATGGTAGGGGAATATGGGCTACTTTTGGCTGTGGGTGGGATGGTGGGGAATATGGGCTACTATTGGCTATGGGTTTGGTGGTGGGGAATATGTGCTACTATTGGCAATGGGGAGGAATGGTGGGGGGAATATGGGTTACTATTGGCTATGGGTGGAATGGTGGGGGAAATGGGCTACTATATGCTATGGGGAGGAATGGTGTGGGAATATGGGCTACTATTGGCTGTGGGTGGGATGGTGGGGAATATGGCTACTATTGGCTATGGGTGGGATGGTGGGGAATATGGGCTACTATTGGCTATGGGTGGGATAGTGGGGGATATGGGCTACTTTTAGGAAAGATAGTAAGTAATAACTTCTGCTATTAGAGCTCTCTCTCTCTCTCTCTCTCTCTTTCTCTCTCTCTCTCTCTCTATAGATATATATATATATATTATGGATTATTCAGAGTTCTCACATGCTGTTTTCTCACCTTCTGCTGGAGGTTTGCAGAATTTATAGCCATTATCTGGGCAGCACTTTTTGTCACCTTCACATTCCTTGTCACTGGTGCATTTATCATGAGGAATATCCGAAAAGGGAGTAAAATATCTCTCAGGAGGGCAAACTCCAGGCTTCTCTGATACAACAATGAAATACATTAGTAAGTACAGTAAGTATTGTAAATTCGAAAAAAAGGGTGCTTCCAACCTTGGTTTACTATGGAACATTACACAGTGAATTCATATTAAAAAATGGGACATTGATCGAATGTGAAATATATCTCTGCATTGGTGTTTAAAAGTACTTTATTAATTGATTAAGATCAATAGTAGCAGTCAGAATGATATTTCTTTAAAATATATAATAATCGGCTTATTCAGGGCCATATAACCAATTAATAGCACAATGTTAGGCAATAAAGACTGTCGTTTGAGAAGCTTTGGATGACTGCCCATTACATAGGTCGGTCACAAGCATGGGTGGCACGATAAATACCATGAATGTCATAAATTCAATAGGAACAGGGCCCTTTAACTATTTATACGGTTAGGGAACTAGGTGATTTTTAAGAGAAAAAAAAAGATTTTAGTGAAAGATGGCACTGTATAGTTTCCACGTGTTCAAGAAAGGTCAGATTATTGAGGTGGGTCTATGGCATTCATGGACAAAGGGGTCCAAAATGAGAAATCTGATGGATAGGAAATTGCTGTTGGGCCTGATGGATTTAAACATAGAAACTAAGAGAATCTGAAGTTGGCAAGCAGGGGGAAAGAGTCTATTGGTCCAGGTGGCAATTAAACGAAATAAACAAAACAACCCTTAAAGCCTGTAACAAATAACTAGAATTGAATGAGCATTGTAGACATGACATGCAACCATAATACACATTAGCTATTAGATTTGAATCAGAATAATGTCACCTACCATCATCATCTGCCTTGATGACGATTACAGTGGTGAGTAGCAGTGCCAGCCCAAACATGACGATCTGACCCGTGTACATCTTGATGTCTGTATGTGCTCTGTCTTAATGTGCAAATCTATTTATCCTCCGATTCAGCCCATTTCATTAGGGTGTGCACCTGTGTTATTTTGTAATATTGTGTAATGGGAATAATTATTAAAATGTTAATTGGATGTGTGATTTGGGTGTGACTGAAAGTGTTGTAACTGTGTGTGAGGTGTGTGTTGTGGCTTTCTGTGTGTGATGTATAAGGCTCGCTGTGTGTAATGTGTGTATAGCTGTGAGCGATAAATTTGGGCTGCTGTGAGTGATGTGTGTAGCAATGTGTAATTTGTGGGAAATACATGTGGGATGTCGTGGATTTTCCATTTAGTACAAGATTTAGATAGCTAGTGAGGGGTTAGGCACTGCAGTGAAGGGTCAAAGTCAGAAGTGGGAGATTAGGGGCTGTAGTGAGGGTTTAGGGGGCTGTAACAAAGGATAGGATCAGTAGTGGGGGTTAGGGGCTGTAGTGGGGGTTGAAGGCGATAGTGGGGGATACGACATTAGTGGTAGGTTTGCAGCTATAGTGGGGGATAGGCGCTAAGTTGGGGACAGGGGCTGTAGTAGGGGAACAGGCGCTGTATTTGGGGTGAGGGGCTGTATAGATGTATACATTCAGCATCTGGGGTAAGGGGCTGTAGCGGGGAATAGAGACAGTAGTGCGGGATACAGGATATATTGGGGTATAAAGGCAGCACTTGGGAGTGAGGGGCTGCAGTGATAGATAGAGACAGTAGTGCAGGATATGGTCTGAATTGGGGACAGGGGCTGTAGTTTGAGATATGGGCTGTATTGGGGTATGAATGCAGCATTGGTGGGTGAGGGGCTGTAGTGGGGGATAGAGACAGTAGTGCAGGATACGGACTATTTGGGTATTAAGGCAGCATTGGGGAATCAGGGCCTGAAGTGCAATATAGTGGCTGTAGTGGGTGTGGAGTTGGGAGATTAATTTTAGGGTTTGAAGTGTAGGAGCTGAGGTACTGTGGGAATAAGGAGCTTCAGTAGGTGGTAAGGCTAATAGTACGGGTTAGTGGTGGTAATAGTAGTGCAGGGCAGAGGCGGTAATAGGGGATTAGAGGCTTAAAGTGTGGGGTTAGAAACAGTTATGGGGATGTGAAAGGTTAGGAGCTGTAGCAGATTGTTATGGGTTAAAGTGAGGGGCTTTGGGCAGTAGTATGAGTTAGAGGGTTAGAAGCAATAATAGGTCATTAAGACTAAGGGATAAGGAATGATGGGCTGTAGTATGGATTAGTAATAGTAGTTGATAGGGGCAGTGATGGGGATTAAAGGCGGTATTGGGAGTTAGACACTGAAGTGTTTAGGATAAAATGAAAGTGTGTGGTTAGGAGCTGTACTGGGTTAGAAGGTGTAGTAGGATTAGGGGCTAAATTGGGGGGGTTAAAGGCTGAAGTTATGGCTAGGACCTGTGGTGAATGGTTAGGGGAAGTAGTGGGGTTTTAAGACCTGTAGTGGTGACAGGGGCTGTAGTGGGAAGTTAGGACTTGTAGTAGAATTAGCCTAACGGGCAATAGTGGGGGGTTACAAAGTTAACCCATCAGTGAAAACATGTGTCCATCAAGTCAAGATCCAAACCACGGCAAAAAAAAACAGTTTTACAACAAACTAGGAAAAATGTCCTTCTTGACTCCAGAATGACAGTCAGATCTCTCTTTGGATAAAGAAACTATTACCCCACAAGTTAAAAATGATATCCCTGAATATTGTGCTTTTGCAAGTATTCATCCAGTTGCTGTTTAAACATATGTACAGACTCTGATAAAACCACCTCTTCGGGCAGTGAATTCCACATCTGTATTATTCTTACTGTAGAAAAACCTTTCCTTGCCTCAGACTAAATATCTTTTCTCCCAGCCTAAATGCGTGACCTTGTGTCCTATGTATAGAGTCCTGTTTATGAATAGATTTCCAGACATGGTTTGTATTGGCCACGAATATATTTGTATAATGCTATCATATCCCCTGTGAGGTGCCATTTTTCTAAACTACACATTTAAATTTGTAAATCTTTCTTCATAACCAAAAAGATTTGGTTCTTTCTAATCATTGTGTAGCCCGCTTTTACACTTTTTCTGGTTTCATAATAGTCTTCTTTAGAATAGGTACACAGCATATTCAAGGTGTGATCTTACCATCGACTTATAAAGAGGTAAAATTATATTTTCATCCTGAAAATGAATGCCAATTTTTATACATGACAATACCTTACTAGCTTTAGAAACTGCTGATTGACATTGCACATTGTCTAGTTTTTGTCTATATTACCAAATTCTTCTAGTTTGTTGTTTTCCATAGTTTACTACCATTTAGTGTTTAAGTTGCTTGTGCATTCTTTTACCCCAAAGTGCTTAACTTTCTATTTTTCTACATGAAATTTCTATATTCGTGCACACGCCTATGTTCAGGAAATACTTCCTGTTTATCGGGATCATTAATAGGATGAAGGGAGGAACTTTGCTTCATTATTAAGAGTGCCTTGTGGTTTTTTAGTTTCTAGCTGTTGCTCAACTGTTCTAGATGAGTAGTGACTGAGTATGTGCCCAATTCGAGTAGTTACGCAAATGTACCTTCTTAGGTGTCCTGTTAAAAAATGTATTTACTTGAAACTGTGAGAACAGCATTGACCAGACAGACAGGTATAGAGTAGGACCTGACAAAAATGTTGTACATTGGCATTGTGGCAGGCTTATGCAGTGTATGTTTATATAGTCTATTTAAAACCAATTTACCTTTTTAGAGGGTGTTCTCAAAAGGAAACTGCATGGAAATTACAAAACTGAATAAAATATTGAAAATTACAAGGGAACTTGTGTTAATGCATTTTTTAGGGGATGCTTAATTTTCTTTTAAATTGTACTAAATATTTAGCAAATTACATTATAATCCAGTTAGGCACTGCAACAATTGCAGATAAGTACTTAAGTACTCTGTATGTTTTCTCTGTTCTGATTGCCTGATGTAAAGGACAAAACTTCTAATAATGGTGACAGGGAACTAAGATGGAGGTGGCCAGTTGAAGGACATAGAGGTGTGGACTTCTATCATGACATGTGGACATTATCATTAATCTTATTCATGATAATGCATTGAATGCACCATATCACAGAGACTCACAATGTACTCAATGTAAAATATATACACTGAACAAAATTATAACTGCAACACTTTTGTTTTTGCCCCCATTTTTCATGAGCTGGACTCAAAGATCTGTGTGCCTTAGGCTGGCCACAATAAAAGGTCACTCTAAAATGTGCAGTTTTACTGTATTGGGTGGGTCCGGGGGGTCCGAAAACCAGTCAGTATCTGCTGTGACCACCATTTGCCTCACGCTGTGCAACACATCTCCTTCGCATAGAGTTGATCAGGTTGTTGATTGTGGCCTGTGGAATGTTGGTCTAATCCTCTTCAATGGCTGTGCAAAGTTGCTGGATATTGGCAGGACCTGGAACACGCTGTCGTATACGCCGATCCAGAGCATCCCAGACTTGCTCAATGGGTGACATGTCCAGTGAGTATACTGACCATGCAAGAATTGGGATGTTTTCAGCTTCCAGGAATTGAGTACAGATCCTTGCAACATGGGGCTGTGCATTATCATGCTGCAACATGAGGTGATGGTCGTGGATGAATGGCAAAACAATGGGCTTCAGGAGCTTATGACTGTATCACTGTGCATTCAAAATGCCATCAATAAAATGCCCCTGTGTTCATTGTCCATAACATACACCTGACCATACCATAACCCCAACGCCACCATGGGCCACTCTATCCACAACGTTGACATCAGCAAACTGCTCACCCAAATGACACCATACACGCTGTCTGCCATCTTCGCTGTCCAGTGAAAACCGGGATTCATCCTTTGGGAACACCTCTCCAAAGTGCCAGACACCATCGAATATGAGCATTTGCCCACTCAAGGTGGTTACGTCGACGAACTGCAGTCAGGTCGAGACTCTGATAAGAACAACAAACATGCAGATCAGCTTTCCTGCGACGATTTCTGACAGTTTTTGCAGAAATTCTTTGGTTATGCAAACCGATTGTTTCAGCAGCTGTCCAGGTGGCTGGTCTCAGACGATCTTGGAGGTGAAGTTGCTGGATGTGGAGGTCCTGGGCTGGTGTGGTTACACATGGTCTGCGGTTGTGAGGCCGGTTGGATATACTGCCAAATTCTCTGAAACGCCTTTGGAGACGGCTTATGGTAGAGAAATGAACATTCAATTCACGGGCAACAGCTCTGGTGGACATTCCTGCAGTCAGCATGCCAATTGCACGCTCCCTCAAAACTTGCGACATCTGTGGCATTGTGCTGTGTGATAAAACTGCACATTTTAGAGTGGCCTTTTATTGTGGCCAGTCTAAGGCACAGCTGTGCAATAATCATGCTGTCAACTCAGCATCTTGATATGTCACACCTGTGAGGTGGATGGATTATCTCAGCAAAGGAGAAGTGCTCACTTACACAGATTTAGACAGATTTGTGAACAAAATGTGAGAGAAATAGGCCTTTTGTGTACATAGAAAAAGTCTTTGAGTTCAGCTCATGAAAAATGGGGGCAAAAACAAATGTGTTGCGTTTATAATTTTGTTCAGTGTAGAAATAAACTCATACCTCTCAAATGTCCCTATTTAGAAAAGTCCATATTTTTGGGCCAAATTTCTCTGTCCCTCTTTTCTATCCTAATTTTTTCTTTTCTGTGAGCTCCATTTTATTTATTGCAGAGCTCCACTGCAATAATGCTCACAGTATAGAGTACAATAAATGTGTTTAGAAATTAGTCTATGTAAATAACATGCAATGACCTTTTCTATATATATAATTTTAGTGGCATAAATTATTATTGGTAAGATATCATGAATCTCTCAGAAACGCTTTGCCCCTGGCCACACCCCTATAACTACAGTGTCCCTATTTTCTTCATTTTAAACTGTTGGGTGGTATGTAAACTCAACTTGCATCGTGTCACCTTAAGAAAAGCTTG